GATCCCAGAGCACAGGCAACAGAAAGGCTACTCAAGGGCTAGAAGCCTGCTGCTACTCGAGCAGAACAGCTGAGCATCAGGTGCTTTCAGAAGCTACAGAGGTCATCTTTGTCACTCACTCAATCAAATGCTTACTGACTGCCTACTGTGACAGGACTGTTCTAGGCACTGATATTTGCTGACTGCCTCCTCAAAACCCATTCCCTCTTCTCTTGCAACAATCTTCGCTCCTTATTTGGGGAGCCTCTCTTCCCATCCAAATCCTACATTCTCAGCCATATGCTTTGAGTGGCTGATCCCACCTCCAGGGCTGGTGAGTAGGGTAACACTTGCCCTGGCCCGGCAGACTGATCTGGGGTATGCAGGCCATTCTCCTCTGTCCTTCACTATCTTCCTAGCCTTACAGCGCCTATTATCCGACCTTATGACTTAACCTAAACAGAATTCCCACCATTCTCCAAACATACCCTGGTTTTCCCACCCCATGTCCTTGCTAGAGTCATTTCTCTTTGTTTAGAATGCTTTTTCTACCTCTCTCTCACCCCAACCTCCTCAAAAATCCTGTATTTCTCTCCTTAGGAGTCTTGTTCATTTGCTATCTCCTCCACTTCTGGCTGAGTTCATCTAACCCTCCTCTGATCTCCTTTGGCCTTTGATATACTCACTCTTCAAAACCTAATATGCACCAGAATATATAAATAACTCCTACAACTCTACAACAAAAAAACAAACAACCTGATTCAAAAATGGACAAAGGACTTGCACACACATTTCTCCAAAGATATACAAGTAGCCAATAAGCAAATGAAAAGATGCTCAACATCACTAATCATTAGGGAAACGCAAATCAAAACCACTATGAGATATCACTTCAGATCCAATAGGGTGGCTGTTACCAAAAACAAAACAAAAACCAGAAAATAAGTGTTGGCAAGGATGTGGAAAAATTGGAACCTTTGTGTACTGCTGGTAGGAATGTAAAATAGTGCTGCTATTATAGAAAACAGTATGGTGATTCCTCAAAATATTAAACAGATTGATCCAGCAATTCCACTTCCGGATATATACCCCAAAGTGAAAGGAGGGAGTTGAACAGATATTTGTAAACCCATGTTCACAGCAGCATTATTCATAACAGCCAAAAAGGTGGCTGATATGCAACCTAAGTGTCCATCAATAGATGAATGGATAAACAAAATGTGGTGTATACATACAATGCATTATTCAGCTTAAAAAGGAAATTCTGACGCATGCTACAACATGGATAAACCTTGAAGATATTATGCTAAATGAAAGAAACCAGTCACAAAAGGACAAATATCGTATGATTCCATTTATATGAAGTAGCTAGACTAGTCAAATCCATAGAAAAGTAGAATAGTGGCTGCCAGGGGTTGAGGGGAGGAGGGAATGAGATGAAAAAAGTTCTAGAGATGGATGGTGGTGATGGCTGCCCACAACAATGTGAATATACTCAATACCATTGAATTCTACACCTAAAAATAGTAAATTTTTTGTTATGTATATTTTACCACAATTTTTAAAAAAAACTAACATGCAAAACTTTACACTGTGTCTCTTACTAGTAAGTATCTCATTGTGTAACTCTTGACATCTCTCACAGCAGCCAACATAGTACTTTACCGACAGATGGGAGTCCCTTCATTCATTTGCTAGCACTGTACCATTCAGTGCTAACAAATGAATGGAGGGACTGGAGTATCCATCTGAGTATGCACATGCATGAGTAAGAAGTAAAGGTCCCATGACAACAACTTTTTTGCCCAATCCCTTATTCTTCCTTAAAGGAAATTAAAACATGTATGGAATTGGCCCACCTTGAAGGAACCTTGGCAAGTACTGGGTTTGGATCCAGTTTGTGTATAAACTCTTAATTGGCCTAACAGTCAAAAGAAACTTAATACCTCAACTCCCAAAGAATATTGCCTTCTGGCTCCTACCTTGGGGAAGGAAAATTGAGACCTGGCCACTTATGTTTTCCTCATTTCCCCTTCTCCCACTGGGCAATCTCATCAAGGGAAAATTTTTCTTATAGGGCCTCTTAGAGTCATCTAAAAGCATCAGCTTTAGGGCAATAATTTACCATTACTGTACCTTCCTTTTTCTTCATTTTCAAAAAGCATCTTCATGCATTCAACAAACATTTATTAAGCATCCACCACCTTCCAGGCCCTGTGCCAGGCGTGGTGTACAAGATAAACACAGTCCCTACCATTAAGGAGCTAACAGTCTAGTGAAAAACTGTCCAGTGGAAATATAATGAAAGCCACACAAATTATCTGAAATTTTCTAGCAGCCATGTTTAAAAGAGTAAAGACAAAAAAGGTGAAATTAATTTCAATAATATATTTCATTTAACCCAATATATCCAAAGAACTATCATTTTGGCATTAATACAACGAATATTAATATATTTTACACTCTTTTTTGCGCTAAGTCTTTGCAATCCAGTGTCGTATATTTTACACTTAAAGCAAATCTCAATTTGGACTAGCCACATGATTAGGTCTCAAAAGCCTGACCCGTGTTTACTTGGTGGGGTGGGTTAGGGTGGGGCGGTGAAGGGATTAGGGTGGGGTGGTGAAGGGATTAGGATGCGGCCGTTAGTGACGTAAACGTGAAGGAAAGAATCTAAAGGGGCTTACCCATCAAAGGAAGAGCTGGTGCAGTCGTATACCATTTCTCGGTTACCCTTCATCTGAAGGTATGCATCACAGTTGTCACAACCGTCATATTCAAACTGGTCTATAGTCTGGGAGGGGAAAAAAAAGGAGAGAAGTGAGCACGAACAAGGCCAAAAAAATGCAGCTTTCTCAACACTTCTACCTGGTCAAGTAGAAGGCTCCCTACGTTGGCTCGTCTCATCAGGTCCCCCACCCACCACTCCCAGAGCCCCATTCCTAAATTCCACCCTCACACTCCTTCCCTTCTTGTTCCCAACTGCGTCTTACCTACTCCCTTCCCTAGTCTCCCCAGGGTCAGGCACCCTCCGACTACTCCCTCAGCTGCAGATTCCCACCCTCCTCTGATTCCCAGTGTACTTCAGCTCCAAAAGAAGTTCACCGAACATCTGTTAAGGGTCAGGCCTGTGCGAAGAGCTGAGAATGCAAAGGCATGTAAGACTGCCCGTTTCTACGGCTGCAAAACCTGCCCGCGTTCCTACCGACATAAAACAACGATCTCCTGCAGCTCCCTACCGACATAAAACAACGATCTCCTGCAGCTCCCCACATCGCCTGCCACCCCCGGGGTCCTGGACCTCACCTTTCTCTTCACTATCCCCTAGCCCCGTTCCACACTCTTTCCCCCAGGTGGGTCCCCCATCGCCCCTACAACCAAGTCCCCGATGGGTACCTTGACCAGCGAACAGAGCAAACAAGCCCGCAGATGCCGCAGGTCTTTCGGCACCGTCTCCAGAGCCATCCTCTCCGATGGAAGAACACCGAGCGATTGAGCCACAAACCCCTCGCTCTCGGGAAGTAAACAGCGAATTACCCAGAATGCCTGCTACCTCCGGTGCCTCAGACTTCCTCTTCCGGTGTGGGAGGCCGCGAGCCCCGCTCCTCCCCCCGCCTTAGGAGATGGTTTCTCCCGCCTGGAGGCGGGGCCAGCCGGGAGTCACCTGGGCCGGCGCGCGCCCCCGCCACCTGGGCTGGCGCGAGGGCCAGGCGGGCGCGGCCGTTGGGCCTGTGGGCGGGGCCCCTGGGGGAGGGGCGGCGCAGCTGGCGCCTGCGCAGGAACTCGTCGCGGCCCGGGCAGGCATCCGGGCGCCGCGGGCCATTTGATCTAGGCCGCTGGCACCCGGCCGCCGATCCCCTTGGAAGTCTCCCAGATGACAGCCGAGATTGTCTTTTGTCTTCCCGTTTTAAAAGCGCAAGGCCAGAGAGTCCACTGTCTCCCTCTGGATTATCTCTGCGGAGACGAAAGAAATCCAGGAAAGCCCCCCTCCTTCCTAACGGCGGGAGCATGATAGGGTTTCCATTCGCTGTCCACAGGAATGCTGGCCTGTGAGCGCATGGCGGAAAAAATGCCTATTTAATTATTTTTAAAAATTTTTTATGTACGTTTCCTCGTTCCAGCTGATAGTTTATGCTTTGTGCAGCTTTTAGCATTTAGACACAGTTCCTTTACTTCAGAACATCTGTAGGGGATTAAGTGTCCTTTAATTTTTTTTTTTTTTTTTTTTAATTTCACCCTATAGAAAGCTATATGTCTTGCTCTCTGGTTCAGAATTGGGCACCGGACAACCATTACCCCTACCAAACCTCTCCCGGAGAGGCAGAGGGGAAAATGTGCTTTGTGAGGACGAGAGCAAGGCCTCCCCAGGCCCTGTGGAATTCTTCAGACCGGCACAGCACCGGCTCCCTTGAGCCTCACAATAACCCATGTGTAGGCAGAGCACAGTCGTTTGTGTTTATCTGAATTGGAGCTTTGAGATATAAATAGTTTCAGGCCCTATCCTCCCAACCAGGCCTCCTAATTGAAACCGAGCTTCAAGGCAGGCCTGTCTTGTGCTGGTCTCATGCTTTGTTCAGATGGGCTCTGGGACTGGGGTTAGGATATTCTCTATCACTGAGTACTTTCCTCTTTGTTATCTCAGGGGAGCTCTGCAACAACTGTGAAGTAGGCCCATTTTATGGGTGGAAAAAATGAGGCACAGAGTATTTGCCCAGGGTCACAAAGAAAGTCACCGAAGCATCATAAATTAGAGTGGGAAGTAAACAGTGCAGTAATAATGCACAAAACGACTGAACCACAGCGGGAAACCAGCCATGCTTTCTCCTCACCTGATCTCACTACACCATGCTTTTAGGGGCTTACTAACCCTTTCTTGTGCCAAGCCCACTACTCTACCCTATCTTTTCATAAATCAGAGCCTAGCCTCTGATATCAGAGATAATTTATTTCTGTCAATGTCGAAGATGAAGTTGTTACCCTGAGTGACAGTCGTGACATAACAAAACCATGAGACCAGACCGCATTTGTGGATAAATATATTAGCAAATAAATACATTTCTCGACATAGTGCCTGATTCAAGCGTCTTTCTGTCTGGTTCAGATATAAATACCAATGTGGGTGCCTAGGTGCTAGTTCCCCACTTACTTTGAGGGAAGAAGATTCCCAGGCAGGGTCCTGTGCCCACTTTGCTCCCACATTCACATTCCAAATGGGATAATCCTAGAGGGGCCAGCAATGGTCCAGCTGCCCTGGGGTGAATGTCACCCTAAGGAAACCCCTCAGCCCTTGCCTACTCAGTACCAGCTGCCCAGGCCAGACCTCCTGCTCCATCTCCACTCTCGCATGCACACCTTCCTGTGTGTCCCTGGCCTGTATGGCTTATATTAGGAAGCTAGACCTCCGGGCCATCTCAACCCAAGGGCCCCACTTTGCTTTTCCTTTGTTCTCCCCTGTTTCCCATCTCTGCTTTGAGAGAAAACTCTCAGAGACGAATTCCCTGTTGTCCTTGTTCAGCTCTAATTCTGCCTTTTCCACTTTCATTCCATCCTCCCTCATCCTAGATGAAGTCCAGCAGAAATCTTCTTCTTCCCACCTACTTTGAGACTTTGAGATAGGAGATCTCCAAGGAAGAGTTATTCCCTCCCCATACCCCCACTCCTAGCTCCCTGAGGAACTAGGGCTCCTGGAGTGACAAGGGAGTTTGAAAATCAGAGGCTTCGTCTCAGGTTCCTCAAGGTACTGTACCACCTCGGGGACAGAACTCCACCCCCTGGCTTCCCAAAGCTTCCCCTCTGACCTAATATAGTGATTCTGACAATTAAGGACGAGAAGGGGAAAACATCCTCCCTTATGCACCAGGGCAGTTATTGCCTAGAGAAGCTGCAGAGCCCTGCTTTTTAGGGCTCAGGGCTCACCTATGTTCCTGATCCTTTTGCAAAGAAGGAAAATGGTAAGAGCCAGGATTGCTGCTGATGCAGCAGCCTTACCCGGAAGGAGCCAAAGCTGGTGTGCGGGACTCACCCAAAGAAGGAGGTGAGAAGGGGTCATGCATTCATCTAGACCCACTGGCTGGTATGAACATGAGGCTTGGGATGAGGGCAACCTGCAGGGGCTGAGGGAAGGAGCAGCACCTTTATTAACACCTATCTACCCATACCTAGCTTTCTGCTCTCAAAAAACAGCCTTCAAGGGAGCCAGTCCACACAGGCAGCAGCTGGTTGCCTGGCTGGACAGACTTGCTGCCCTGCAAATGTTTTCTGCCGACAAGAACGGGAGCTGGGAGCAGGAAACAATACCTCCTGCCACCCACCATCACCGCTCCTCTTCCAGTGGTTCCAGGAAGTACAGCAAAGAGAGGGGTGCTTTCTGAGGTCCTTTCTTCTCTCAGGAGCAGGACTCTGTGCCAGGTAGGGCTGAGTCATCCGGAGCACACTCTTGGTTGGAGCCAGGCCTGAACATCTCACACGGCCTGTTCACACAGCTCCTCAAGCTCCTCCTCTGAGCCTGCATTTAGAGAAAAGGGAGGAAAGAGGTCACTGAGAGTCAGGCCAGCCTCTTGCTTTTTCCACCTGCAGGAGAGTACAGCTGGGAGGGAACCAAAGAGAGGGAAGAACAGGGAATGTGTCCAGAGGGTGACTAGATTGAAAGCTGAGAGGGGCCCCAGTTGGGACATGGGGGGAGAGAAAACAAATCTACAGAAAGAGAAATATATATAGCAACCAATATGTTACCAATACTTACTATTCATTCATTCACCCAATAAATATTTATGAAGTACTCTTGGATCTGGCTTGCTACCATGTGCCAAATAGAAGACCAAAAATAAATAAATAAGCAGGGACCTTGGGGCCAGCCTGTGGCACAGTGGTTACGTTCGCGTGCTCAGCTTTGGTGGCCTGGGGTTTGTGGGTTTAGATCCCGGGCACGGACCTATGCACCGCTTATCAAACCATGCTGTGGTGGCATCCCACATATAAAGTAGAGGAAGATGGGCATGGATGTTAGCCCAGGGCCAATCTCCCTCAGCAAAAAGAGGAAGATTGGCAACAGATGTTAGCCCAGGGCTAATCTTCCCCGCCAGAAAAAAAAAAAAGAAGCAGGGACCTGACAACCTTGTAGGAGAGAAGGTGTGCATGCAAATAGCAATTATGTCAGTGGGACAGGACTGGGGTCATAAGAGATGAATTGAGGAAGGGGTGAGATCATGTCCAAGTGAAGCAATCAGGAAGGGCTTCCTGAAGGTGGAGATAAATGAGCTGGTCCTGCAAGAACTGGATTTATGGGAACAGGAAGGCAGCAGAATGTTCTGGGCCGCAGGAACTGCAAGAAGTGTTTACCCAGTTTGGCTAAAGCATGGGGCAGAGAAGGGAAGGGAAAGAATGGAAAATAAGGTTGAGAAGGAAGCTGGGAGCTAGCTGGTGCTAAAGCCTGGAAGGCCAAACCAGGCTGGATTTTTCTTTGCTGTGAGTGAAACAACATTTGAAGATTCTGGACAGTTCATTTGAGGCAGATGACCCTGGCAGCTATATGAGGGGTAGGTGAGCAGGGTAACTGTGCTGTATGATCCTACAGGACATAACACTGGATGCGCAGTGCCCTGCCATCATGGCCCTGTAAGAGGGAAAGGAAGAGCTAGGAGGCTCCTGCCTCCATCTTTAGGCTGCACCTAAGACAGGGACAGGGCCCATCAGTCCTGGAGGAGAATAGGATCAAGCCAGCAGAGATACAATTAACAGAACCTGGCACTGATGGGATGTGAGGAGCAGGGAAAAGGGAGGCATTGAAACTAGTTCTGAGTTTGGGAGAGAGGGGAAGTGGTGGTCTGGCACCGGCAGCACTGTACACTGGAAGTATACACATGAAGGGTTCAAATGGAATCATCAAAACATGGCCAAAGCTTGCCTTACATGGCTCTATGGAAACAATTATTTCCTGTACTATAACTGTTTGCATGCCTGTCTCCCCACAAACCTGGATCTCCTGGTTGACAAGTTCCACGTCCTCAGAGCCTAGCCTGGAACCTAGCACATAGCAAGCATACAATGCAGAAAGGAAAAAGGAGGGAAGAAATGAATGATAGCAGCTCTCAGGTCCCGCCTATAAGATTCTAGACTCTGAGGTCTTATATTTCAGGACCTTTAGGTCAGTGCCCTTTTGCGGTGGAGTGGTCCTCCGAGCGAGGGTGGTAGGCAAAGAGCTGTGTCATCTACACAATGGGAGAAGATGAGGAAGAGTAGGAGGTAGAGGGCTCCAGAGGAGGAGGAAAGGGATTTGAGCAAATAAATACCAATTTAAAGTTGATTTATGTTATCACCATTGGTTGTAATACAGTAACAGGGATGCATTGAGCCCCCAAGAAAATGAGGTTGGTCTTATTAACAAGGAAGCTTAGAAGGGAAGCAGAGTTGCTCTCTTACCCCAGGGGACAGGAGAAAACCTATGGACTCACAAGACTGCTGGGAACCACCCATGATCTCTATTTTTTTTGCCTCATTCACCTAGCTCTTCTCATATGGCCTAGTATTATGGTTATCAGTAATTATTTCTCCTCTATACTCTCTTCAAGGGCAAGGAACACTTCTTGGCCTTCTTTGTATTTAAAGCTAATATTGAGCTATATACATTGGTACAGCTGTACCAATTATTAAAATATTGAAACAATTCCATGTGAGCTGCTGCCCCAAACCACGCCAAGTGCTTTCTGACATCTCAGCCACACTGGTACCTCCCCTGAGATCTCCCTATCATCTGGCAACTAAAGGAGTAAGACCTGGCAGAACCAGAATGCTCCTGCCAGCACCCTATGCTATGGCAGTTGTTCACTATTTTGAATGTCACCCCTGTTGTACCCTTCTCAGTGTCCATCAACCCCTTGTTGGCTGACTTCAACCATTCTGTAATATCCAGCTCTCATTTCCTCTTCCCACCACACCTACTTCCCCTGAAAACTCACCAGGCTGGGCTGGCAGCACCTGGCAGTGTGGGTAAGGGCATGGTCTGCCCTCTGGGGTGCCAGAACTCCATTCAGAAGGCCCCTCCCCAGGTGGGTGTGGTCCCAGGGGCCGGCGTGGAGTCAGACACAACCACACTGACTGTGAACTTGGGTAACAGGGGCCTGGGGGTTCTGGTAGCAGCCTCCTGTCCAGGCCTGGAGGTCCGAAGATCAATGGGTGGGCCTCTGGGGACCAAGGGCATGCCAGATCGGGGCCATAATGGGGAAGAATCTGGCAAGCTGGGTGTGCAGTCAAATCCTGGGGCCGAGAGGCTTGGGTGGGCTCTGAGGGACCCCCTCGTCGTCTCCTCTGTGGGTGTCGGACAGGGAGGCTGGATTTCTGCAAGTGCAAGAGGCTGCTGGGACTGGAGACGTCAGCTGGGCCCGGGGGTGACTCTGTGACAGCTCTGGGCCATTGTGAGTTGGGGAGCTGCCCTGAAGGTGCTGCTGGGTTGGATCTGGCAGCTTGCTGAGCAGAAGAAGGCGGCTCTGGCTGGGGCTGTGTCCGAGGAACGGCAGACCTAGACTGGGGTACCCCGGTTTCTGGGCCAGGCTTCCTGCCACGCCAGTGGAAGCGCTTTTTGTAGTGATGGTGTCGGTGGCGGTGGTAGTGAATGTGGCTGGAAACCTGGGTTTCCCCTGTGGGCACCACCGAGTCCAAAGAACGAGGCCTAGAGGTCACACTAGGCTGAGTCTCCTCCACCCGGGACTCTCCTTCAGGGCTGCAGTATACCAAGGGGTCAAAGTCACTGCTCAGGGAGCTGCGGAAGGTAGAACTGCTGCCGTGGATGCCCTGCAGGCTGATGTCCGTGCAGTTGACCACTGAGTCACTTGAAGAGCCATGACAGGGCCCTGAACTGGAGTCACTGGCTGGCCCATCTGCCAGGTAGCCGCTGCGTTCTGTGCAGTAGCTCTCTCCAGACCCGCTGCTGTCGTGAGGCCTGGCCCGGCGCGGGGGTGCTGGGCAAGCGGTGGGGTGCTGTGAGGTGCATCGCAGGCGGCTCAGCCCCCAGCCCTGCGCATACGGGTGCTGGGCCACTGCCAGGCGCTGCTGCTCACCTGGAGCCCGGGCATGTGCAGCTCTCGGGAGGCCATGGTGCCGCAGGCCCATGCCTGGCTCCTGGGATGGTAGGAAGGGACCGGGTCGTGGGGGCCGAGCCGCTGCACTCCGGGAAGGGCCCAACAGGTAGGCAGCAGGGGGGTGGTAGTGGGCATGGCCAGGATGCTGGCGAATAAGGTGGAGTCTCCGGCCTGGTTCCTGGTAAGATCGAGAGGGTCCCAGGGACTGGGAAAACGACTCTCCCTCTGGAAGAGAGAACCAAGAGCATGGGTGTTTGACTCCACAAACCAATGGAGGGTGCATTCAGAATGGAAGGGCTGTAGTGTACCTATTTGAGCCTGCATAGCCTGCGAGCTCACTCAGAGTTTAGGGGGCCAAGGATATTCCTAACCTGCCTGTGCCCTGGGACACCTTCGCTCCTTCCAGTCAGATCGTCTGCCTGGGAGTTCCACTATGCATGTCCACCCCTGCTCCTCCCATCAGCCCGTTTGGGGCTTTTTCACCCAGGGCCATGGTCTAGCCCATATTGCACCTTTGGGTGAAGCCTCTCTTTCCTCAAGATTCTTCACGTTCACCTTTTATAAAATTGTCCTAATATCCTGGTTTTGTTAGAATAGGATACTGTATTGCCAGAAAATTAGAATAATAAGTATACAAATCACTCCAATTTAAAATCGACAAAGTTGTCGTTAAAATACAAATAATTTTTTAAATAATAAAGATGTCTACAATGAAATGGCCCTTCCCCTCAAATGAGGCACTCTCGGTGTGGGCACAGCTTAAAAAACTATTGAGGCAGGGGGCCGGCCCAGTGGCACAAGAGGTTAAGTGTGCGCGCTCTGCTTCGGCGGCCCGGGGTTCACAGGTTCAGAACCCCGGGCGCGCACCGACGCACCGCGTGTTAAGCCATGCTGTGGTGGCGTCCCATATAAGGTAGAGGAAGATGGCCACGGATGTTAGCTCAGGGCCAATCTTCCTCAAGAAAAAAGGGGAGGATTGGCATCAGATGTTAGCTCAGGGCTAGTCCTCCTCACAAAAAAAAAAAAACAAAAGCTATAGAGGCAGTTCTGCTTTCTCCTCAGCTTCAAGGCAAACTGTTTCCTAAAGGGAAGCCACGTTCTAGACCCATCTGCCTGCACACAGGGGAGTCCCTGGCCCACCTCCTACCTACGATGTTGAACATGCAGAGGGGGCAAGTCCGATGCTGATAGAGCCAGGGGTCCACACAGGCTTGATGGAACTCATGGAGGCAGGAAATGACTCGGAGCTCCTGGAGAAAACAAGGGGGGCCAAACCAAAGTTATCTGTAGTTACAGGAGTGGCCAGGAGCCAGGACATCCCCCTGACTCCCTCTGGCCTCTCCTTCTTGCTATCACCCACTTGCAAAAGACCTCATAGTAGAATAGAAAAAGGATGGACTTGGGTATCGGGTAGACTTGGATTTTGCCACTTAGCTGTATGACCTTGGGCAATTTTCTTTTTTTGTTGTTTTTTAGATTTTTTTTTTTTGAGGAAGATCAGCCCTGAGCTAACATCCATGCCAATCCTCCTCTTTTTGCTGAGGAAGACTGGCCCTGAGCTAACATCCGTGCTGATCTTCCTCCACTTTATGTGGGACGCCGCCACAGCATGGCCTGACAAGCGATGCATCAGTGCGCGCCTGGGGTCCGAACCCTGGCCGCCAGCAGCCGAGTGCACTTAAACGCTAAGCCACAGGGCTGGCCCAGGGCAATTTTCTTAACAGACAGTTTTCTGATGTAAAATGAGGATAAAAAACTAATCTATCCCCACCCCTTACTGTCATGAGGCTAAAATGAGATGATGCATCTAAAGCACCCATTGCAGAGCCTGGCACATGGTACACGCTCAATAGTTCTCTTTCCCTAGAAGACCAGGAAAACAACCAAACCTCAGGGCTATCCCCTACCTCTGCCCCATGCAGGATACACAGAACACAGATGCAGCCAGAGCACCCACACCAGCCTTAAGTGCCTCCTCCCCCCAGCTCCAGCCTCCCTCCCCAGCCTGGTCATGGAGGTGCACCACAAGTCCTGCCTTACCTGGCCCTCAGAGAACTCCTCCAGGCAGATGGCACACACAGGGGCTGAGCTGCAGCTGCTACCTGAGTCTGGCCACTCAGCCCGGACCCTCCTGCAGCTGGCTCGGTACCTCCTGGTGGCCAGCTGGCTGATGGCCCAGGCTGTTCGCTGCTGAAGGGGATCCTAGGAAGAGCGGTGGGGCTCAGAATGGGGCAAGGGCTCCTTTCCCCTCACCCCTGGCCCCAGCTTGTACTCAGTTCCCAGTCACCCAGTTAGATCACATGGCCAATTGACTTCCCCTGGCAGTTTGTCTCCTTCGAGCTCATACGTGGCTCTGCCAAGCAGGCCAAGCCCTCCCACCCTACTTCCCTACTCATACTATTAAGCTTTCCTTCCTTTGATGACTCATGAGAGAAACTTTTTTTGTCAAGCAACTGCCTGCTTGACATCTCACCTTGGATATCTAATGGACATGTCAAACTTAACATGCCCCAAACTGAACTCCTAATCCCATTAACCACCCCTAGACTCACACCTATCCTCCCCCAGGTCTTCCCCATCTAAGTAAATGGCAATTCCATTCTTTTAATTGCTCAGGCCAAAAATCTTAGTGCCATTCTTGACTCCTCTCTCTCATACTCCATGATCAATCCTTTAGTAAACCTGTTGGCTTTGCTTTCAAACTACACCCAGAATCTAACTAATTCTCACCACTTTCACTGCTACTCCCTAATCCAAGTTACCATTACTGTCACCTGGATTCCTATAGCAGCCTCTGAGCTGGTTTCTCTGTTTCCAGCCTTGCCTCCCTGTAATCTAATCTCATCACAGCGGCAGAACAATCACGTTAAAACTTAGATCATGGCACTCCTTCTGCTCAAAACCCTCCAGTGGCTCCCATTTCACCCAGAGTAAAAAACCCAGTCCTGACAATGGCCTAAACAGTCCGGTACAACTGGGCCCCGGTGAGCTGTCTGTCCTCACCTCCCGCTCTGCCCTCTCACTCGCTCTATTACAGCCACATGGCCTACTTGCTGTTCCTCAGACACAATGGGCACACTTCTGCCTCAAGGCCTTTACCCTTACTGTTTTCTCCACCTTGATCACTTTCTCCCCAGATATGTGCAGAGGTCACCCTGTCACCCATTTAGGGACTTTCCTGTAATGTCATCCTCTCAATGAGGCCTTCCCTGGCCTTGCTTTTAAAAATTAACCCTGTCCCCTTGGCATTTCCTCTCCCCTTTTCTATTTTATTTTTCTCCCTAGCATATACCACCATCTAAAACACTATATATCTTACTTATTTATTTTGTTCATTGTCTCGTCCCACTAAAAGGAAAGCTCCCTGAGGGAAGGGGTCTTTTGTCTTTTTTGTTCCCTGTGCTATCCCTGATGCCTAGAACAGTGCCCAGCACATGATAGGAGCTCACTGTATTTGTTGAAAGAATGAACGAACGAGCAATCCTATGGAGAGAGGCTGCTGGAAATCAACAATCAGATGCGAGGGTATTTAGATGTAAACTGTTTAGTGGGCATAAAGGCACCTTCTTTCCTCAGTTTTCCCTTCCTGATCCCCACCCTCCCACACACATGCACACGCCCACCTCCACCAGGGAGCCCACTCTGCTCACCGGCCTGCTATGGCGGGGGCGGCACCGGATGCGGAGCACTGAAGCCAGGATGACCACAAAGATGGTGCCCACCACTGTCAGGAGGATCCATACATCATAATCTGGCTGGGGAGCGAGCAGAGAGGGAAAAGATCATACTTCTGGAAGGAGCAGGGCCAATTTGGGAGGAACACAGGAGCCCAGGAGACACACAGAGAGCTGGAGGTCCCCTTGAGTCTTCCAGCAGAGGGGATGAGGTGGGGAGGGACCTGCAGGTGGGGCCAGGTGGTCCCTCTCTGCCCATGGACACTCATAGGAGAGGGTCCACCAGATGTCAGCCGTGACAGGTACCATCTGAAGACCTGTGTGCTTAGGGAAAAGGGGAAAGGGACCCCTCTGCAAGGTGGGAGCTGCCCAGTGAACAGCTGGGTGAGTTTCCTAGCCAGTGGAGAAACACCAGCCAGGGGTCAGAGGGCTAGGGGGCCAGGGTTTCATTCTGGGTCTGCTCCTCTGTGCCATGAAACCACAGAGCTGAAAAAAACTTTACAACTCAGCTGGCCCAATCTGTTCATTCTGCAGATGAGGCCCAGAGAGGGGAAGAAACCTACCCAGAGGCACACAGCTGGTGGATGAAGTTGGATTAGAGGGTCTCTAAGGTTTCTTTAGGTCCAGGAGTCTAAGGGCTTTGGTGGGAGTTGGCACAGGACAAAGGGAGGGTGAGAGCAGGTGCTAGGTCAGGGTCTGGAGATCTGGCGTGCTTACCCAGGTTGGGGGCTCCTTCAGCTCAATCCTCACATGGGCCTTTCGGTTCTTGTACACAAACTCCATCAGCTTCTCAGCATCGTTGCCCCAGATCAACACCACTGGCCAAGTCAGCCCCAGGGGCTGCTGCAGCTGCAGGAGGAAAAGTGCCCACAAGGGCTGCTGTGTCCTCACTCCTCCCTCCCCTGGTAACTTCATCCTCCTCTGTCCAGCCCCCTCCTCAAACACCCTAGTGTCTCTGGGTACCTGCTCAGCAGCCGCTCGATCCTCAGTGATGTCAAAGAGGACAGCGCTGGCTCCTCGTTCACCTGCCATCCGGGCCTGCAGAGACACACAGCAGAGATCCGGCTGGGGTCAGAGAAGAATACAGCCCATCTATGCCCCGGCCTCACCCTCTCACACATCCATCCCTCCCTAGGATTTTGCACACACCACATCTGTGCACACTCACACATATGACACATGCAAGGGGTCAGTGGGACTAGGATCCCCTGCTCTGCCCTGAGCTCACCCAGGTTCCACTGCCTTCAAGGATAACATTGAGTCCTCCCTTTTGTAACGGAGCAAACCCTTAACAAGGGTTTAGTAGGTGTCAGGTGGTGGACTAGGCTCTAGGGCTAAGGACAAATAAGACACAGTCTCTGCCCTCAGGGTTCCACCAGTCTGCCTTCACTAAGAAGTGTGAGAACAGAGAGTAGGGAGTGACCAGCACCCCAAAGGGAGTAGGTGGTGACCAGTCCCCAGTCCAGAGAGGGAGAGAGGGAGAACAGAGAGGTGGAGAGCTCCTTCAGAATAGAGCTGGGCTTTCCAGGGTCCAGCCCTGCCTGACTAGAGGAGCTGCCAGGCTTCCCCCCAGCTCAGGCAAAGTTCCAAGAGCCTGAGACACTGCTCCCACCCAAGGTCCCCAGGGCAGAGCCCCAGGCTCAGCCCATCTTGTGGGCTCTCTCTCCCTGCCACATTCTAGTTTGCCAACTCTTTCTCTGGCTCCAATTAAAAAGCTTAATGGAGTCCCTCCGGAGCTGTCTCCCTTCATCCCGTCCCTGAGGGTGGCACTAGAGACTCAGGTGGGGAGGGACCCCAGGGGCTGTTCTCAAGAGGACACAACTATGCATGTGTGCACATGCGTGCTGACCAAGGCTCCAAGAGCAGGCTCGGGGAAGCAGAATCTAGCCAACCAGGCAGAGCAGACAGCAGAGCCAGAAAGAGAACAAAAAGCAGGAATCTAGGGGCTCTGGGTGTGGGGTAAGAGAAGGGAGATAAGAGCCGAGGGTGGGGTGGAGGCACACGGGCAAAGCACCAACAGACAGACACTGTTCCCCGCCTGGTGTCAGGTCTCCCTTTCCAGCACAGCTACTCCCCAGCCTTCCTCCCTAGAGCAGAGGCTCATCTTGCAATGGCATCAGGCTGGGACCTCGGCCCAGGGGGCCTGCCGAGTCTTCAGGCCTTTCTGCAGGCACTGAAAGAGTTAATCCTTCTGCAAGTGGTGGTGGCAGGAAGAGGAGCCAGTGCAGGGGCTTACTCACACTCTCAGTGCTTTGATCTCCGCTTCCCTTCCCGGGGAGAGCCTGTTGGGGCAGGTCTCCTGCCAGGCAAGCCAGGGGAGCGGCTCCTTGCTCCCCGCTCCCTGCTCCCCACTCCCCAGGCCGCAGAGGGGGCCAGGGGGCCCCTCAGAAGCGGCAGCCTGCAGGCAGGGGAGCCCGGGAGGGTGGTGGAGACACTCAAGTTGGGCCCTGTTTTGGTCAGGAGGGTAAATTCCCACTTCCCTCCCTCCCTCCCCAACAGAAGCTGGGCTGGGCCCTCTACCAGCACCCAGGCCCAGCCCAGGCCCAGGCTCGCCAGGCTAATTGACTGGAAATTCACAGGACTCCAGAATAAAATTGCTGGAGAAATTGAAAGGTCACGGCCTTCATCCTCCTCTCACCCACTTACTCCCAGGAAGTCCACCCCACCTAGGCGACCCCAGGCAAAAAGAAGCTCTCCAATCTTCAGAGCCCTCCAACCCAGGCTATGGGAGCAGCCCCAGGGGAAAGGGAGGGGACTTCTACTGCTAATCTCATAGTCCAGGACTTGGTCAAGGGGTGGGGAAGTCACCCAGTGGTCCCAGAATTGAGATTCCTGGGTCCTCTATGCTGCCAGGACCTCATGTTTGTCATCCCCAGAATGAGACCCTGGACCCAGCTCGGCCTGGAAGAGCGTGAGGAAAGGGTACAGACTTCTTTCTCTAGAGATTTTCTTACTTCCCCACCCTGCTCCCTTTGAAGGATTGGAGTAGGAACAGTGGAAAGTAATTACCCTGACGTTCAAACACCCCAGCCCATTACAGCCCATAATTACAAAGTTGTAAAAGTGATCAAAGTGAGCGAGTTGGCCAAGAGGGGAAACAAACAGGACTTTCAGGCAGTGGGTGCCTGTGTCCAGAGTTCTAGGAATCAAGAAGCAAGATTTGGGACCAGATGGCAGCCCACTCTGGGGCTATCCATGCTTCCCTCCAGTCCACCTGCACCCAAGAAAGTAGGAGGGAGGGAGAAAAAGAAGCACTTCTTCGGAGACTGGAATCTGGAAGGCAGAGAGGTGGGCAGGTCTTCCCTAGAAAGACAATGCAGAGACCTCTTTGAGAGCTGCAGAGTCAGCCAGCCCCCTAGGGGCAGAAAGCAAGGCTGCCCACAGCCTCTAGCAATGGGAGCCCACACACTCAGGACTTCCACACTACACTATGCACTTCTCTGGGCCTCAGATTTTCCTCTCCAGACACAGTGACAGTCTCTGTATATCTCCTGCTCATCGAAAATTGAGCACCTACTGTACCCAGGGCACCAAGCCAGGGAAGGCCAGGCCCTCCAGAACAACTCCTAATCTAGCTGTGGAGGCAAGGCATATACATAAAATTATAATGCTGATAACAACATTCTAGAGTACAAATGAATGAAACAGACCAGAGTTTCCAAACCTTTTTTCACTGCAAAAAGCTATTCCCTCCACTCCCTCTACCACCATACACACACACACAACCTGACACAAATCTTCAATATACAAAACAGATAAAAGTCAGCTGAGCTTGGGGGTGGGGGTGGGGGTAAGATGTACCCTTGGCTTCCCCCTCCCACCAAGGCAACTCCATGAAACCAGGTGCGGAAAGCATGGACAGCAACCCTGGCAGTGTGCCAGAAGGAAGGGATTTCTGCTCCTAGTGGGCTAGCGGGGCTGAGCCAGTCAGGAAAGATTCAATAGAAGAGGAGGGGTTCATCTGGGTTTGAAAGCAAGGGTAGGAGGATATAGAAAGGATATAACCTTTATTGAGACCCACTCTGCCCAGACTGCTTAGGTTTGAGTCCTGAATCTGCTACCAACTACTAGCTGTGAAACTTTGGGCAAGTTACTTAACTGGCCTCAGTTTTCCTTTCTGTAAGCTGGGGATAACAATAGGACCTACTTCATAGGGTTGTTTTGAGGACTTTAAGTTAATCCATGTGAAGCCTCATAATAGTGCCTGGCACATGGCAAGTGTTCCTTAACTATTAGTTACTATTATGTCAGCTATTACTATGTGCTTTGCATATATGATTTCATTTACTTCTCACAACAACTCTACAAGACAGTCATCAGCCTCACTTTTGAGTTGAGGAAACCAAGGCTCAGAGAGACTGAATAACTTGCCCAGGGTCACACAGCTGATAAGCATTGGAGGCAGGATTCCTACCCAGGACTTTGGCCTTCCAAGTGCCTAGTTACCAAGTTGTGGTCTTTACGGTAAGAGAGGCAGGGCTTGCACCCATCTGCTTGCCTCCAGCGCCAGGTGCTGCCACCAGGCAAAAAGCCACTGCACTACTCCAAGCATGAGGTGATAAGGGCCTGGCTTATCACAAGGATGGCTGTGGAGTTGCTAATAAAGAAACAGAAAGCAATTTGGGTCACTGGATAGAGAGGGGGTGGTGGTGATGGTGAAAGAATGGAAGAGTCCAGAAGAGTTATGGTGAGGGTTTCAGAGATCAAGAGAGATAAGAATGAGAGAAAAAAACCAACCTTGTTAACTATAAAAATATGGGATGATGATGCCAATGATGACAATAGTGATAACTGCAATCATTTATTGAGTGACTGCTATGTGCTTGGCATAGGGTTAAGAGCGTCTATCTGTACTGTTTCATTAAATCCTCATAACTACCTTATGATGTAAGTCCCATTATTATTCCCCTTTTACAGATGAGGAAACAGAGGCTCAGAGAGGTGAGCTAAAATGTCCAGATCAAACTGAGGAGCAGTCAATGAGCCAGGCTTCAGACCCAGGGTTGTCTGGCTCCAGAGCCCCGGCTCTGTCAATGGTGATGGCATCACCGACACTAATCAATATGCCAGAGCAGAGCTGATCGGGGTCAGCTATTTTCAAACTTTCCTCATCAAGGACCCACCTTTCCATATTGAAAAAAAAAGTTTTACCAAACAAACTGCATTTATTACATACAATTCCTTTTCCTATGAGATAACTTGTGTTAACACACTGAACTGACAGAATTCCAACCAAAGGCAGACATGAGTATTTTAGTCAAGCCTGTGGGACTTCTGAAATATTGGAAGTAGCTCAAAGACCCACATTACTACCTTCACAGACCTCCTTTGGGCCAGGGGATCCCAGGTTGGAGCCACTTGGCACAGGTCAAAGGATGAGACCTGAGGGAAGCTCTGGACCAGACCAGTTGGAGAGCCCGGGGCTAGAGCAGTTCCCACTAGAGAATGGGGTACTCGAGTGATGGGGGCCAGGTGAGGAGAAGCCGAGGAGTGAGCGTGAGAGGAGGCTGTGACTGCAGAGGCCTCAAAAGAAAAGAGGTCACAGGGCAGTAGCCAAGGTGTTTCTTCTAAACCCCATGGTTTTTTGGTTTTGTGCTTGTTTTAGCTCAGGCACTATTTGGCACTTGGCGTACATTATTTCATCCTCACAGTGATCACTGGGGTAGGAAATAAAAGTCCCAGTTGATGGTGGTGGAAACGAAGGCCCAACAAGGTTAAGTAGGGGTGGGTGCTCAAAGCACTGACCACATTTTCCTTGCTTCCCAGAGTCTGTGCGCATGTCTCATTTCTCCTACAGGAGTGTGGTCCTCCACGAGATGAGAGGAAAACCTCCTTTGTGGATGCATCCTTAAGGCTGACAAGTGTTCACGTGTATGTGAAATCGCACACTGCTGTAGAACAGCAGAGTTTCTCTGAACCCTTCTTCCCCCGTCTCTCTCTCTCTTTCTCTCTCTCACACACACATACACACACTCCACTCACACTCACACTCACACACTACCTAACTCTGAGCACTCATTTGCTAAATGAATAAATGAATGACATTTTCCCACATTTTGTAAAACAACAGAAATGAAATATCCAGAAGTAGGGCAGCTTCAGCCTAACAAAATTCTGCTGCCATAAAGGACCCTCACAGCCTTGTAGCAATACCACACTTTCCAGCGCCTCCAGGGATGTCCTGGCCCCTGCTTCCCACCTCCCCTGGAGCCCCCTTTGGCATCAGCATGGCCAGGCTGGGAGAATATCTTCACCTACCTGTGGGCACCACATTCAGAATCCTGCCATATCCCCACCCCCATGGGATCAGGTAAGAACCCAGGCTGTTTCCTTGAGACTCAAGGCTCGATTTCCCCAGCTCTCAGGAGGATCAGGAAATTCCCAGGGGATCTGGGCCTGAGTGCAATGAGCAGGCACACAGGTTGGGCTGTCACGCTCCTCTTTCACCACCCCTGGGAAGAGGACCCCTCCCCCAAGTCCACCTGACTGTGTCACGCACAATCTAACTACACTCTGGCTTATGTCACCATGAGAATCTTTTCACATATGTTCAGTTTTTCCAGCCATAATGGGAGGCAACAGAGCAGAGAGATTAAGTTTGAGAAGTGAACAAGGCTCAGTTCAAATCTCAACTCCACCCCTTCCTAGCTGTGTCACCCTGGCAAGTTACTTATGTTTTCTGATCCTCACTTGCCTCATACATCAAATAGAGAATAATAATGTCTAGTTTTCCTGATTGTTGTGAAAAGCAAGTGAGGTAATATGTATAAAGAATCTGTCCCATGTCCCACCTTCCACATGGTAAGCACACAGAAAACAGTAACTAAGTTAAAGTAGGGGTCATGGATGCAAACGTTTACAGGGCCCTGGAGGTAGCAGGCCAGTGGGGAACATGGTGAACCAGAGAGCCACAGCTACAGAAAGGCAGCAGCCGCCAGCTCCAGCCAATGGTGCCCTGTGGAAATGTGGGGCCACCACTTTGCAATCTCAGAGGAAGAGTGTGAACTTTTAAAGGTAGGAGCAATGGCTTCTGTTTCTGCTCTTCTTGCACAGTGCTCAGTAAATATTTACGAAAGATGGAATAACCCTCCAACAGACCCCCTCTTTACTCTGATGCTGGGCAGGGGAAGGGGTTTAGGAACTCCCAGGTGATGGGGGAGGAGATGGGGTGCAGCACATGTCCTGGATGACAGTCAAAGTGTTCTGCTGGTAGATGGTTGCTGGGGAAAGGATGGAGGCCTGGATTTCCACCTCTCAGACCAGTCATGGGTTAGGAAAACCTGAGTGAATTGGACATATCACTCCAAGGAGACAAGGGGACAGGCAGCACAAAGGCCTCTCACAGCCTGAAGCTCAGCGAAGTTCAGAGCATGTGTGGGGTCAAGTGTGAATCTACCTTGCTGGCCAGTGACAGGCACGGGCGGGGGGCCCGCTGGGGACTCTCCAGCTTGACAATGCTGATGAATCCAGGCTCCAGATTGTCGTCATCACTGGCGTTACACAGGTACAGGGGGTGGGACTGTAGAGAAAGAGAGAGAAAGACTTGGGTTAGGGAGGCTCTAGGGAACAGAAGGAGTGAGCTGTGAGAGCCAAGCACCTCTCCGCTGTTCTAGGCAGCTACCAGGCAGGTCTCTTGGTGCTATGAAAGAGAGGGCCTTCTTTTTTTTTGTTTTTTTGTGAGGAAGATCGGCCCTGAGCTAACATCTGCCAATCCTCCTCTTTTTTTGCTGAGGAAGACTGGCCCTGGGCTAACATCCATGCCCATCTTCCTCTACTTTATATGGGACACCGCCACTGCATAGCCCAACAAGTGGTGCGTCGCTGCGCGCCTGGGATCCGAACCGGTGAACCCTGGGCCACCGCAGGCGTGCACCTAACCGCTTGCACCACTGGGCCGGAAGAGAGGTCTTTCTTATTAGATGGCCTCATAGTAAGCTAGTAACTATCGGTTGTCATTTCAGGGGTGCCAGGGCCAAGGATAAATGGAGTGGGGCAGACAGGAGGGAGGGGCATCCAAAAGGGGGATCTAAATGAAGAGCCTACTGCAGAGCTGCTCAACAATGCTCAAGCCCTGGTTTTCCAAACTGGCCAGACGCAGAAGGCTCCTCTGCCCCAGCCTCTCTCACCGCCTAATTCTTCTACCTGCTACCCAAACCCCAGGCTAAGAGAAAACCCAGTTGTTCCTATATCAGTATCTTCAGAATCTTGCCTTCCCTCCTTGCTCCTCAAAGGCAGTGCTCCTGCCTCCCCAGAATGCCCCCAGGCAGCTGTCGCCCTGTAGATTCCCATCCCTCATGTGGCTTGGATTAAGCAGGGTGCTGACAGGGAGACAAGACTATTTTGGGATGAGGCTTGGCTAAGAGTTAAGCCTTGAACAGCACAATTCCTAGGAGTTCATCCTGTCCCCAGGAATGATGCAGTGTAGATGAAGCCAACACAGCCCATCTGCTCTGTCATGTGTGCTGCTCTGTGAGGACAACACAGCCCATCTGCTCTGTCATGTGTGCTGCTCTGTGAGGACAACACAGCCCATCTGCTCTGAGGGTATGGCAGGTCCAGTCCAAGACCCTGTGCCTCTAGCTGGGCTGGTGCTGAGCAACAACTAAAAGGGAAGTACCCAACCTGTGCTACCAGAGACCAGAGGATGCCCCCATCAAAAGGATGAAACTCTCTTCTCATTCAAGGTGATTCCAACGCCCATTTGAATCTAATTTTCCCAGAGTGCTGTAAGAACAAAGTATGGTTTATTTGGCCCTGGATAATCCTATGAGCCAGGAACTCCCACACTGTGGACATGCAATGTATCCTGGAAAGAAAGAGGATTTCCTACTAGGGAGCTGCCCACACTTTCCTCTCCATTGCTGTTGAAGTCTAAAGGACTTCCAGAAAGAACCATCAGAGGAACCAGAGAGAATGTTGAATTTGCAGAGATGATTATGTTGATGATGGATTTAGAAGCAGTCACTCTGTGAAAGCACTTTCAGGCTATTTCCTCTCACTGTATCCCTGCAGGCCCTTGAACACAGTAGGTTCTCAATGCATATGCACTACCTGGCTTTGAATTGTAGCCTTGCTCCCAAAATTTAAGGATTATTAGTCTGTGATCAAGATTTAGTGTGGGAGAAAGGTTATGCATCACCCCCACCCCAAGAAAAAGGCTGGGGCATAAGGTTGGGGGCTGTTCTCACTTCAATGAAGCTGTAGCCCCTGTCTCAACAAGCTCCATTAGTCTGTCTGTCTGCCCATCTGTCCAACAACACATCCATTCATTTCTTCATTCTACCAACACTGAAGGCCCCCTTGGTGCCAGGTACTGTACAATGCACTGAGGAGTTGACAATGAATAAGATAGGCTCTGTGCCTTAAAGAAGCTCGGAAGGCAAGTGTGCAAACACATTGTACTGCGATGTTATGATGCAAGTTTATTCAAGGGCCTGTGGGAGGGCACAAGGAGGGGGGACTAACAATCCCATGCAGGAGGGCAGAGATGTTTTCACAAGAGGTGACTTGAGTGCTTCCTTGGAAGGTGAATAGGTATGTGTTCACCCAGTGGACCAACAAAAAGGGGGAGGAATCATTCCCGACAGAAGAAGCGGCCTGTGCTGAGGCATGGAGGCAAGGGGTTGGGAGGGACTGAGGGCTGTTAGGTCTGGCATGACAGGCAAGGCAAGAGATGAGGCTGGAAAGGTCCCATGGAGCAGGGACCACAGATCTGCACTTGAGAAGGATCTCCTTGGTGACTACAGAGGACAGTCAGTGTGGTGAGGAGTCAGACGTCAGCTGCTCCAACAGAATAAGAGATGCGAGAGCTCCCTCCAGGAATAACAAATTGCAGCCACAGAAGTCTACTGCTTTGCTTGCTCCCCGACTCCTACCCGGGGTCCAGCTTTCTCATGACTCCAAGATGCCTCTCACTGACCGGAAGGTCAATTGGGAGAGGGGAAAGTCACTTTGGAGAATAGTCTTTACAGAAGGATTTGCAAACATTTAGCCAGCACTCTGCCCCCAGGCCTTCACAGGGGGAACCAGCATGTACAGAGCAAGGCTATATTGTAGGATACATATCCCTTGACAGGTGGAGGGGGAAAAACTTGGTGTCACCGGACTTCCATGGTCCTGAATTAACAATTACAGAAGAGAGAAGGGGAGGAAATTAACCATTAGTAAATGCCTCTGGCATGCCAGGGCCTTTAGATGTTATCTCACTATGAGGTAAGTGTGATCATCCCCATTTAAAGAAGAGAAAGAAGCTTGAGGCTCAGAGAAGTTAAGGTCACACAAGATTAGAACCCAGCTCTGTCTGACTCCATCCTCGGGAGTCTAACTCCAAATGAACACAGAGTCAATCCTTCCATTGTCCATGCTAAGAATGATGACGACGACGATAGTTTACATTTATTGAGTAAATACTGTGGGCCAGTGATTTTTCTAAGCACTTTTGTGTATTAACTCTTTTCATCCTCATAACAACCTGATGAAGTAGAAACTATTATTGTCTCCATTTTAAAGATGAGAAAACTGAGGCACTAAGAAGTTAAGTAATATACCCAGGATTACACAGTTGAGAGCAGAAGAAATGGAAAGAAGTAGGATAAAGAAAAAAAATTAAAAACAATTTCCATCTGATTTTGAAAACATGATACTTTCCCCCAACTCACTACCAAGAAAATTTGCCTTCCTAATGATGTGTTCCCTAAGCCCAAACACGAGTCCCTGAAATACTGATGGTGACCTCCAGGATTCTGCCCTAGGCCCTCTTCTCTTTTCACTCTCCATGCTGGCCCTGGGTGACCCCAGCCAATCCCCTGGCTTCAGGTTCCACATAGAGGTCGTTGATTACATATGTGCAGCCTAGACCTCTCTTGAGCTCCAGGTATTTTTGTCCAACAGGTCCAACAGGTAGGGCCTGGGCGTTTCTACCTGAAGAAACTTAAATGAGACACCTCAAACTCAGCATTTCAAAATTGAACTAATTGTTTTATCTCTCAAAACCGCTCCTCCAGTGTTCCCTATTTTAGGGATTGGAGCCACTATCTACCTGCTACCCAAGTCAGATGTTGTCCCCCTAGTCTCCTCTGTCTGCTTTCCCCTACCGCCACCAATACCAGCCAACCACCAGATCCTAATACCTCTACCTCCTGAACATTTCTCTCATTTGTCCTCTTTCCTCCATTCCCACCATGGCTACTCTAATACAGGCCACCATCACTGCTATTCCAATTGACTGAAGTCTAACTGGGGTCACCTCACCCCACTCAGTTCTCTACGCTGAAGCCAAACTGATCTAAAATGCTAACTTGAATGTGTCACTCTTCCACTTTAAGCTCTTAAAAGGCTCCTCATAGCTCTTGGAATAAAGTCTGAGCCTTTAAACATAGCTTAAAAGGCTCTGCCTGCTCTGAGGCTCATGCCTTCATGCCTTGCTCACGGCTTACATTCCCTTCCCACACACCTTCCCCCCTGGCAACCCGTGCTCCAGAAATAACAACTTGTTTCACGTCCCCAAACACTTTCGGCACTTGCTGCTCTGTCTGGATAGGTTGGAGGCCTCTCCTCTGGGCCCCCTTAGCACCTGGTATTTCCCCATAGACTTATTCCCCGGTATTTTAGTTGCCTGCTTCTGTCCCTCTCTCCAGGCTATGGCTGACCTCTGCTGCCCCTTCAGTGCCTGCTACGTATTTTTTTAAATTAAATATTGAAGGTCTAAAACCAGACAACTGACAGTTAACATTATAATTTTTTTTTCCCCCCAAAGCCCCAGTAGATAGTTGTATGTCATAGCTGCACATCCTTCTAGTTGCTGTATGTGGGACGCGGCCTCAGCATGGCCGGAGAAGCGGTGCATCGGTGCGCGCCCGGAATCCGAACCCGGGCCGCCAGTAGCAGAGCGCACGCATTTAACCGCTAAGCCACAGGGGCGGCCCGACAGTTAACTTTAAAGATAACACAATACACAGCAAAATCCTAATAATGGTGGCTTTCAGAGAGCAATTATAGAGGAGATGGTGAAGAGAAACTTTGGTGTTTTGCTTTGAATATTTCAATCATAGGATAATATATTGAAATATTAATGTGAGTTTTATTTTTTGCTGTTGTGGAAGAATAAAAAAGAATGAGAGCTATTTATATTTTGTTCTGTGTCTTTTCCCTCTTCCCATTCCAAGAAGATAGTCTGGCCTTCTATTTCTTTGCCTCAGGAGCATTTGCCAAAAGCAAATGTTGCTCAAGACCTATCTTCCTGGCTTTTGTGAAAGACTGAACTCATTGAGGAAATGTGAGTGTCCTGAAGGCAGAAAGGAGTGTGTATGGGGGACGGTGTGTGTAGGGGGGTAGTGTCCCTGGAATCCTGAGGGATGTGGGGAGGGGCCTGGGGATGTGCCAAGTTGTGGGAATCTGCAGCCTGTGCCCCAGATGGGGTAGACACCAGGAAGATGGACCCTGGCAAAGAAGATGTGCCTACATGGATTTCAAGGCAACAGCTGTGCTTGGGCAATGGGCATATTTGTGGTGACCAGCAGG